AGAGCAGGCAGGCATGGTGGAGGTGGCCATGGTGGGGTTGGCTGGAGGAGGGTGGGTGAGTGTTGAGTGAATGAGTAAGTGTGTGTGTGACAGGGGTAGGGGACTCTGGCTTTATACTCCTCCCTAGTACTACGGGCCCAGCCCGCGATCACTGCTTCCTGGTTGCTGTTGGCTTTGTTCCTGCTTCTGTCTCCTGCATTGTTCCTCATATTAGCTGGTGTTGTGTTTCGTGTGGATCGCATGGAGTTTCTCCTGGGTTGTTTGCCTTACCAGCAGGGCCTATGTGAAGTACCAACGGTGACAGAGGGACAGATAGTCATGGACCACTCTGGTTCTGGGTCTCGTGGGCTGGGACAGGACTCAGCACTTCTGTGGTGGTTAATGGTGGCCAGCGGACTTTCAGTTAGAGAAACTCTATGATTTCTCTCCAGGGATGGGTCAGTTTCCTTAAGCTGTGCGGCCAAGCACCCCAGCTGTATGGCTAACAGAGATGTCACCACCTCACCGTGGAGACTGAAGTCTATATCAGTGTTCTTTGACCTGAGCCAAGGGTACTGCCCAGGCCACCCAGCTCCTGAGGCTTCCAGCATTGTTGTCTCTCTAGCTTGTCCCTGACATCTGCTTTATCCCTGTGGGTTGAGTCCAAATTATCTCTTTTTATACCCATGAGTTGAATTGTAGCCCATCTAGTGACCTTGGCCATCTACAATGACCCTACTTTCCATTACAGCCACATGTGCAGGTCCAAGACCTCATACCCAGCCAGCAACTTGTGAGCGGCACATTTCAGGCCATCTGGAACTCCTGCTTAGGAACAGAAGTGTATACCCCAATCTTGCCACCTAATCCAGATGATATTCCCGGTGGCCCATTGTTTTCCCCCAGGACTGGCTCTACTGGCATCTAGCTGTTGGCGCCAGTGTCACACGGCTTGGGAATGGCCTCTCAGCCTTTAGCCCTTCCTTCCTGTGACCTGGACTCTGGAGAAGAGGGCTTGCTTGTCTTGTAAAACACCAGTCATGGACCACCTGCTTTTCTCCCAGTGAAATGGGGGCTCGTTTGGGGCCACAGCCCAGTGCACAGTGTGGCCAGTGGGAGCCATGTAGATAAGCCTCTGCTGGTCAAGCCACAATTTACCCTCTATTGCTAACATGTGCCTGGAGTTTCCTGGAAACTTCCAACAGCTGGCATTCTGTAATCATCCATCCATCCATCCATTTGTCTGTCTGTCTGTCTGTCTGTCTGTCCATCTGTCTGTCTGTCCGTCTGTCCGTCCATCCATCCATCCATCCATCCATCCATCCATTATTTCCTCTCCCCTAGAGCCCTATACCCTGTCTGGTTACCATGGTACTGTGGGCTCTGTCTTCAGCCTATCTGCTCAGCTGCTATACAGTCTGCTAAACTGGTCTGAGAGCAGCAACACAGTGTAGTGGGAACACAGGCAATGGTAAACTGTGGTCAAACTCAAGAAGGCTGAGGCAAGGGAACATTTTCAAAGGCAAAGTGAGGATTATGTGGGGTATTTTAAAACACTCCCTGGCCATGAGCAAAATAGCAAGCACAATGTCAATTAGTGGTTGCAGGGCAGATGTCCTTGGATGTTTTTTAGTATGGGGCAGTGAGCTCTCCTATGCTAAGCTACAGCCCCAGTACTACCTGTCGGGGCTGCTTCTTGCCATTGGTCAGCCCTGCAGCAGGGCTGCTCCAGTACACTATCCCAGATTCACTGTTTACTCAGTTTGGCATTCCTAGATTGACACTGTGGCTGTAGCATGGCTCTAACAGCTTTCACGATGTAAAATCTGAAAATACGCAGCTTCGGTAAATGAGCCATCATGGCTGCCGTGTCGCACAACCATTACCTAACCCCAACCCCCATTGTGTCTTTGCCACAGACCTTCGTCCCCTGGATATCCTGGCAGAGGTGGTCCCTTTGAATGGTGCTACAAGTGGAATCCGGATGGTTCAGGCCGAGGGTGTGCTGGGCCTCCAGTTCTCAGCCACTGAGCCTCATACCATGAGCTTTCCTGCCTCTAGAATCTTCTCCAGCTGTGACCTCTTCCCTGAAGAATTCTCCATTGTCGTCACCTTGAGAGTTCCCAACCTTCCACCCAAGGTCAGTGATAGTTTTTCTTCTCGTAAGGGTGGTTTTTCTTCTGGATTTTCTTTACTGATGTTTCCAGTGTCAGTACCCACAGAGCACTGTGCTGATCTGGGCCACAGAGAGCTGCTTGTGAAGTTTACAGGAACCTGGGGTCTGGAGGGCCTGCCTTGCCCACATCACAGCCCCATCCTATGGTGTGCAGGCTGTCTGTGCATCAATCTCAGCCTGATGGTTGTTGGCACTGTCATAGGTTTGCACTGCCCAGAGACATGGTTGTTGATGTTTGTATCAGTTTGCACAGCTGATGGCTGTTGAATAGCCAAGGGACTGTGTGGTCTGATGGTGAATGGTATAGCCATGGGGTTGTGTGGCTCAATGGTTGCTGGAACAATCATAAGTTTGTGCAACCTGATGGTTATTGACATAGTCATGGTTTGTATGACCTGATGGTTATTGGTATCACCACATGATACATGGCCCAGTGGTTGTTGGAGTAGTCACAGGTTTGTCCTGCCCAATGGTTGTTGTAGTGTTATATGTGCAGGTTTGTGGCCTGATAGTTGTTGAGATAGTTATGGATTTGCATGGCTCCATGGTTGTTGATATAATCAAAGCCTGATTATTGTTGGTAGAGTCAAGAGTTTGCACAACCCAGTAGTTGTTGGCACAGCTAAGGAATGGCATACCCCAATGACTATTAGTATAGTCTTGAGTGTGTACAGCTAGTGGTTGCTAATATAGTAGTTTTCACAGTCCAGTGGTTGTTGCTATAGTGACAGAAGTGCAGATCAATTGTTGGCGTAGTCATTGGTTTGGGTGGCCTGATAGTTGTTGGTCTAGCCAAGGCTCTTCATAGCTCAGTGGTTGCTGATGCAGTAATGAATATCCACATCTCCATGGTTACTACCATAGTTCCTAATATTTACATCTTGATGGTTATTGGTATGGTCACAGGTTTGCACAGCCCAGTGACTGCTAGTATGGTTATGGGCATGCATAACTCAATGATTGTCATAGTAGTCATGGATTTCTGCAGTCAATTTTAGGATAATTTGACCACTGCACAAGAAGTCCTGTGTCCTTTCACAATCCCCCTGGCCCTGCCTCATCACTTGCCACAAATCTCCGTGAGTACCTGTTGGGTGACCTGTTTTGTACACTTTACATAAGTAGAGTTTCATGGTTCCAGCGTTTCATGGTTCATTGCATGGCGTATGGCCTCATGGTTTCATTCATGTTGTAGCATGTGCCACAGTTGCATCCCTGGTCATAGCTGAATAACCTCCTGTTGTGTGCACACATTATTCACACTGTATTGACTCTCTGGTCAGCAACTGATGGACACTTAGGCTGCCTCAACTTTGGGCTTGTAAATGATGCTGCTGTCAACATTACGTCCTATGTGGAATCACTCTCATTGCTCCTGGGGGACAAATGGAGAGGTGGAATCCTTGGGTCACATAGGAAGGCTGTGCCTTTTGAGGTACTACCTGGCAATTTCTAGAGTCATCGCACTATTTGGTGGGGAGTGTGACAGGAATCTGCTCCCTCTGGGTGGCTGGAAAGCAAAGGGAGGAGGGCTAGGGTCCCAGTGTCCCCTTTGAGGGCACATCTGACTTACTTCCACTTCTTAAAAGTCCCTCCTCCACCCAACAGCACCATAAGCTGGGACCAAGCCTTGAGCACAAAGGTTGCATGACAAATTGAGGACCCACAGCTCCTGCCCATTTCTGTGCCGCTGGAATCTGTTGCCAAGGACTTTTCATTTGTGCCGCAGAGATAGCGGTCCACACGCTTGTCTCTGAGGATGGCATGTGAGTGACACGGTGTCCACAGCTGTGAGTTTGTCCCATCACATGGCTCTGCTGCCTCTACACTGTGGTACCTGATGCACAGGGTCAACCTGGCAGGATTTGGAATCACCTGTCACACATTCACACACACACACACATACAAACATACACATGCCACACATGTGAAAACATATAAACATATACACACAGATGTACACAAAGATACTGTACCTGTATTTTGTTCCTTGCACAGTCAGTAGTCTTGCTGGGGTAATATTGTATCTACAAATCTTAAAAACCCAAGGACACAGGGCTGGGGAAACAAAATATAAAAATAAATCTTAACGAGGAGCTGCTGTGTCCATGGGGCAAGAGGAACTCTGACGACCTGGGGACAGGAGAAGCTTCCAGAACTCAGAGGACTATGAATATTATGGGCACTGTCAGGGGCTCCAGAGAAGCTCAACTTGAAGTGAGACAGAAGGCATCCACACTCCTGCTCCCTTGACTCCATCAGGCCTCCCACAGGCACCAGGGGATCCTTGAGTTCTCACTGACAGTAGCAGCCGAGACAGCAAGTCCTACAGAATAGCCAGGAGCACCTGCCACCATCTTCACAGCCCACACCTGTGTGGTCCCCACACCATGTCCGCACAGGTGGAGATGGTGCCTCAAGACCAAAGCTTTCTGAAATGCAACAGTGACTAGCACCCCCAGAATGTCACCTGGGTACCCCCATCACTGCCTCCCATGAGATCTGGGCATCTCTGCGGGGTTTCCCCAGGGGCAGTCTCCCCAGACAACAGTATTTGTTGACAGTCCATCAATAGTGATTCTCCAAACCCAGACAAGGAAAAGGAAGCCAGGAGCTGAGGCACAGCACAAACAGCCCAGCTGTATAAAGGCGTCCAACACAGCACCTCACACACACACACTCACTAACCCACTCACTCACTCACATCTCACCCTCCTCCATCCAACCCTCCATGGCTGCCTCCACCATGTCTGTCTGCTCTGATGCTTGCACCAACTCCTCCTGGCAGGTGGATGACTGCCCAGAGAGCTGCTGTGAGCCCAGCTGTTGTGCCCCCAGCTGCTGCCAACCCAGCTGCTGCCAGCCCAGCTGCTGTGTCCCCAGCTGCTGCCAGTCCAGCTGCTGTGTCCCCAGCTGCTGTGCCCCAACCCCCTGCCTGCCCCTCCTCTGCACCGCCCCAGCCCCCTGCGTTACTCTTGTCTGCACCCCAGTGAGCTGTGTGTCCAGCCCCTGTTGCCAGTCTTCCTGCTCACCATGCTGCCAGCAGTCTAGCTGCCTGCCTTCATGCTGTCAGTCTTCCTGCTGTGTGCCTGTCTGCTGCAAGCCTGTCTGCTGCACACCCATCTGCTCTGGGTCCTCATGCTGCCAGCAGTCTAGCTGCCAGCCCTCATGCTGCACCTCCTCACCCTGCTGTATAACCCTGTGCTGCAAGCCTGTCTGCTGCACACCCATCTGCTCTGGGTCCTCCTCATGCCAGCAGTCTAGCTGCCAGCCCTCATGCTGCACCTCCTCACCCTGCTGTATAACCCTGTGCTGCAAGCCTGTCTGCTGCACACCCATCTGCTCTGGGTCCTCCTCATGCTGCCAGCAGTCTAGCTGCCAACCCTCATGCTGCCAGCCATCCTGCTGTGTGCCTGTCTGCTGCAAGCCTGTCTGCTGCAAGCCCTGCTCCAGTGTGTCCCTGCTCTGCCGGCCTGTGTGCAGACCCGCCTGCTGTGTGCCCACCTCCTCCTGCTGTGCCTCCTCCTGCCAGCCCAGCTGCTGCAAGCCCTGCTCCAGCATGTCCCTGCTCTGCCGCCCTGCCTGCTCCAGCCAGGCGTGCTGTGGCCTCTCCTCGGGCCAGAAGTCCAGCTGCTGCTGACCTGTCCCATGCTTCAGAGTGCCCCAGTTGCAGGTCTGAGAGCCTCAGAGTGGTAGCCAGGCAGTCCTGCTCCCCAGCACTGGCTTCAGCCTCATACCCATGTCTCCCTGCTCAGTTCCCAGTGTCTTCCATATTGCTTTGTCCCATTCCTTTTCATCTGCCCAGATGGTGGCTACTATTCTATGACCAGTTGATAAGCTGTGAGCCCTGCAAGCCATCTAAGTCCTCTCCAGGACATCTGGATACCCATGGGGACAGGCTTGTGTGGCATGATTTCATCTCTCTGGGACCCTAGCCTTCAGCTGCATCCAATGTGGTTTCTCCACTGACCATCATGTTGTCTAGTTTCCATTTGCCTGGTTCTTTTGAAGTCATCATTAAAAAGCAAACTCCAGTGAGACCCTTTGTGCCTCAGACTAGACACCTGCCCTAGTTAGAGACTGCGGGCTCTGGCTCCTGTTCCTTATCCTGGGCCTCAGAGCTGAGCTGACATGGGGTCTCCTTCTCTGTGGCCTCTCTCCTCCACTCATTCCCCCTCCCCCTCCTCACTCCCTTCCATTGACATCTTCTACTCTTCTGAAATGAAATAAATCTTGAGATTCCCAGATGAGTTTGTGACGTTGGTCTGTTTCTTTAAGCTTCTGCATTTATTTGCTTTCCAATCTGACTGGTCATTTCCACATTGGTCATCTCTGGGATCCAATTCTGTTTCCAGAAATTTCTGCCTGTTCTCACTCCTGGTGGCTTATTTCCTTATGTGTCATGTCCTTTTGGGCTGTCATGGTCTATTCCCTGACGGAGCACCAATGGAGGCCTTGAGTGAAGGTGTTGGAAGCAGCAGGGCCATGATCAACTGTTAGATTTGGGGCTTGATCTGAGGACCACACAGAACACATGAGTTTGGGGACTAGAGAGATCTTCATGCAAACACACAAACTCTTACACTCAGCTGTACAAAATGATATTGTCCTTTTATATTGTTCTTTGCCAAGTTGATGGTCTTGTTGGGATATATACTGTATCTATAAATCCTAAAATCCCTAAGGACTTGGTGTTGGAGAATTGAGTCAGTGGTTAGTAGCACTGACTGCTCTTTCAGAGGACTCAATTTCCATTCCCAGGACCCAAGTCAGGTATCTCACATCTACCTGTAACTCCAGCTCTCAAGCATCCAATCCCCTCTCCCGGTATCCACAGACACTCACATGGGCTTCACAGAAACATACACACGAATAAAATAAACCCTCACAAGAACAAGGATGCTATAATAGCTTGGCCATAAATGCTTGGTTTTTAAAGAGTCTGGAGCAGGGACCAAGCAGCTTCTTGTCTTCTCTCATACTGCCTATCTCCTGATTGCTTCTTTCCTGCTGGCTTCTCCTGTGGATTCAATCACACTTGGGTGAGTAAAGTAGGTTAAAACAACCAGAATAGAACAAAAACACAACAACAACAACAACAATAAAAGAGCCAAAGAAAAAGTCCAAGAAACACACAGATGCAGAGACAAATTGTCACACACAGAAATACTATAAAAAGCAAAGTTGGAAACCCTAATATATAAGCAAAAGGCCGATCAGATTATAAAAAAAATTGAGGCACACACACAAAACGCACATGCGGGTGCGCGCGCGTGCGCGCGCGCACGCGCACGCGCACACACACACACACACACACACACACACACACACACACACACATGCACACAAAGGAAAATGATCATAAAAATCATTATGAAACCAAAAACCTCCAAAATTACAATTGAGCTTGTTTTGTGTTGGCCATCTATTGTGGGCATGGAGTCTGCCTTTAAGTGTGCTCAGTATATGCAGTGAGACTCTAGTGAAGAAAACTAATTTTTCTCATGAGTGCTTACCAGCTGGAGTTAACGCTGGGATTCATGTCCACTTCTCCACTGCCTTGGACCCGTGAAGGCCCCGAGCATGCCTTCACAGTCGATGTGAGATTCACAGTCCTGGGGGTCTAGAAGGCTTTGGATCCTTAGTGTTCTCCATCTCCAGTGGCTCTTAGACTCCTCTGCCTTCTCTTCTGCAGAGTTCCCTGAGCCCTGAGGAGAAGGATTTGATGGAGTCCTCCCACTTAGGGCTGAGTGCTCCAAGGTCTCTCACTCTCTGCACATTTCCACTTGTGCATCCCTGTTTTTGTTTCCGTCTAGTTCAGGAAGAAGCTCCTCTGATGATGGCTGAGCATGACCCTGAGGAGTAAGTATAGCAGACTGTCATCAGGAGTCATTTAATTGCTAAATTTTCCCCGTGGGTCTGTGACCCCTCTAGTCTCAGGTTCTTGCCCACATGAGCAGTTTCAGGCATAGGTTTCATCCCATCAAGTCAGCCTTAAACCCAATGAGATAGTGGTTTGTTACTCCCACAGCCTCTGTGAGAGTGGAATTTGTGCATTTGTGGAAAAATCACGAGTGTAGATTGAAGGGTTGATAGCTGGCTTGCTGTTTACCTTCCTCCTCTGGTACCATGCAGAGTACCTTACTGAGCACTACTCAGTAGAGGTGAAGGAATTAGGTAGGCGCCAGCTCAAGTTCTCCATGTTCAATGAGCTGTGTAGGTGTTGTCTTCAGGAGCAGAGCCTTACCTTCAGTTGGTGGTGAATAACCTTAGCAAAATCTTTGATTATTTTGGGGTTTCCATGGGACACCTTGAGCCAAAAGCTTGGTTCAATGTAACCCATTCCCAGCACTGGAGGTTTAATTTGGTGGCAAGAGATGTCTGTTTGGAGATTTGTCTCCCCTGTTATTTGGTGATTATATTTCTTTCATATGTTTATAATTTCAAGAAGCCTCTACTGCAGTAGGTTTCCAAATGACCCCCAGATGGTCGGTTGTTTTAATTATCTTTCCTTTAGTTCTCCCTTCCTTCCTCTTCTGTTCCCTTCCCTGTTTAATTCTCCCATTCTAGCTCTATCTTGTCCATCCATTACTATATATTCTATTTCCCTTCTCTGGGAAAGCCTTCCTTCCAATGCTGTTGCCTATTCCTAACTTCTGAGGTTATATGGATTGTAGACTGCTTTTGAAGATTTAACCACGAACAATCATCCACATATAATACTTGTCTGTTTGGATCTGGGTTACCTCACTCAGGATGATTTTTTCCCTATCTATATCAGTTTACCTGTGAATTTTGTGGTTTCATCTTTAAACAGCTGGGTAACATTCTGTTGTGTTAATGTACATGAATGTCTTTATCCATTCATCCACTGAGAGATATCTAAGCTGTTTCCATTTGTGGCTATTATGAATGGAGCAGCAATGGACATGAATGAGTCTCTGTGGTAGGATGGAGAGTTCTTAGGGGAGATGCCTCAGAGTGGAGAAATTCCAGCTTCCTGAGGAACCACCACACTGACTTCCTTGGTGGCTGTACACGTTTTCACATACCCTAGCAATGAGTAGGTGACCCTTTCCCCACATTCTCACCAGCATGAGCCATCATTTGTTTTAGTGTCCTTGGCCATATTGATGGCTGCAAGATGACAACTCAAAGTAGTTTTGATATCATTTCCCTGGTGACTAATGTTGTTGAACTTTTCTATGTTTTAGAATCATACGTGTTTATCTTCTAGAACTAGGTTTAGACCTATACTCCATTATTAATTGTGTTGTTTTCTTTATGGCCATCTTTAAGTCTCATTATATATGTTAGATATTATCCCTCTATCAGATGTGCAGCCAGTAAAAATCTTTTCCCATTCTGTACCCTGCCACTTTGTCCAGTTGTCATTCCTGTTGACAGCAGAATCCCTTGATTTCATTTCTTGAGATGTCTCAATTTTGCCTTATATTTCTGAAATGGTTTTGCTGTCTCTTTAATTCTTATCCACCGACTCTGGCTTCCAGGATTCTGACTTATCCTGCTCATTGCTGCTTTCAGGGTTCCTGAGGAAGCTTTCAAAATTTTCCCTGGGTTTGATACACTGCTTTCTCCTTGTTTCATCTCAGCCTGCAGATCAACCATTGGCTCTGTCTCCTCAGCTGAGCTCCATGGGTGTGAGGGTGGATGTTTTTCAGGAAATGTGGAAAGATCCAGCCTTTGTTAGAATTAAAACCTCCCAAGCTGTCTGCATGGAGTGCCCTACACCAGCATCTCATTCCTCCTTAGAGACACAAAGGTTCTAATCCATATGCCCACGAACTCCAGCCAGTGTCTGATGACAGATTGAAAAGCTATTTGGAGACTCTGGAGTTCAGAGTGTCCCAAGGGTGTGCTCTTCACCCTCAGAAAGGATCAGAGTCAGGGACCATAAACTGACAAGTGATGAAAACTCAGGATGTCCATACAGCTAGTAGCAGTACTTAACATGAGTAGATGCATAAGACAGGCTCTAGTAAATTAATTGTCCTTACAGTGTCCCCGAGTAACCCAGGAGAGTATGTTGAGGGAAGGTACTGGCTGTGTCCATGAGGCAACAGAAGCTCTGAGGACATAAGGACAGGAGCAGCTTCCAGAACTCAGAGGAAACAAAGGACTATGAATGTTATGGGCACTGTCGGGGGCTCCAGAGAAGTTCAACTGGAAGTGTGACAGAAGGCATCCACACTCCTACTCCTTTGACTCCATCAGGCTACCCACAGGCACCAGGGGATCCTTGAGTTCTCACTGCCTCAAGTAGGAGGCAGCCCAGACAGCAAGTCCTACAGAATAGCCAGGAGCACCTGCCACCATCTTCACACAGCTGCTGCCAACCCAGCATCTGTGCCCCAGCCCCCTGCGTTACTCTTGTCTGTACCCCAGTGAGCTGTGTGTCCAGCCCCTGCTGCCAGTCTTCCTGCACACCATGCTGCCAGCCGTCTAGCTGCCAGCCCTCATGCTGTCAATCCTCCTGCTGTGTGCCACTTTGCTGCAAGCCTGTCTGCTGTACACCCATCTGCTCTGGATCCCCATGCTGCCACCAGCCTAGCTGC